TACGATATCTTGAGTATTGTGTGGGCGCATGTCGCCAGTTGCTGTTTCGCTGTTTGCATACATGACAAGTTGAATAATCAGAAGTGTGATTTCAGTCATATATATATATATATATATATATATTTCGTCACAAACAGAATATATATACATATATATACACACACACCCCACCAAAAAGAAAAAGAAAAAAAAAGCGCACATCATCAGCACAACCTAATTTCCTCATGGCGCATGCTCACCGCACAAGTGCGCGCCGCAAGTATGATCCAAACACTTCAACAGGACGGGAAAAAGTTAAAGTACTGTATTTGGGAGAAGTTTCAGTCTAGATACAGCCATAAGGATCTTTATTATTTTTTTTTAATTATTATTATTATTTTAATCAGAGAACTGGTACTACACTTGATCTTAGCCAAAAGGCCGCCATTTTTCAATTCCCTGAAAATCTCCGGAGTTCAAACACTACTGTCTTCCCCTTGAATAGAAGCATACGATCAGTATAGATGTATTTGGGGCAACTTTCAGTCCAGATACAGCCAAAATGACCGTACGTTCTATTCGGGTGAACAAGTTAATTTGACGATAAAATCAATACTGGGTGAAGGGTAGACTGGGTAGTTCGGAGAAAATGTACCAACTGCCGAACCCCTCATCCTATAAACAGAGGTGGTGTATCCAAAATATGCCAGAATTCAGATCAAATTCATCGCTTCAAAGATTAGGCCGTGCTGAATGCGGACGAATACAGGACCACATTCACTCAGTGGGGCACATGCCAAAGATGAGCAATCCATAACATGTGGAAGAGTAAAGGAAGGAGGTGGTGCTGAAAAGGAAAGCGGCTCCTATGCAACATTCGTTAAAACTTAAAATTGGAACAAAAAAAAAAAAAAAAAAAAAAAAAAAAAAAAAAAAACCACAGAGACTATTAGAATTGGCCCTCGGCAACTATGATACACAATAGCGGAGAAATGGTGCAAATTATCCAAATCCTCCCCACCCCCCCCCTTACACCCCCCCCCCAAAAAAAAAAAAAAAAAAAAAAAGNCCCCCCCCCCAAAAAAAAAAAAAAAAAAAAAAAGTAGTAACCGCAGGGAGACAGAGAGAGGGAAAAGCAAGTAGGAAGGGAGAGGAGCTTGTGGCGGAAAAGGGATGAGAGGAGGGAGAGACGATGGAGGGCAGACTCGCAAAGAACATCGAGAAGACGAGGCAACATAAAAGGACACGGGGTTAAGCAGGAAAGAGAAAGGAGAAGAAGAGGAGTTCGTGCATATACTATTATTAATTTATTATACATTATTTTATTCATTTACGGCGTGACTGCAAATTTCGAAATTTACAAAAACGTTGAGCAATACAACGACCTCAAAAAGCATCAATTGACAATTCCCCTACCTACCTACCCAACCCTCACCCACCAGTCCCTCTGAGCATCTCTTTCCCAACCCGGATCGCTGCTGCACGCCTAAAAAAGCGATCCATTACAGGCGCAAAATAGTAAAATAATAAAAAAATACTAATAAATACATAATTTTGCCCGGCGTCGCCAACCATTTGGGTCCAGTAGGTCGACCCGACGACCCCCTGTTAGGAAGGACTGGTGGTTTAACTCAGCAATTTAACCCCCCTGTTGAACCCCTGTTAACTCAGCAGTTTAACCCCTGTTGAACCCCTGTTAACTCAGCAGGTTAACCCCTGTGTCGGACAAAAACGACTGGGAAAGCCACTGGTTACGGGGAAAAAAAGAAAAGAAAAAAAAAAAAAAAGGCGGGGCAAGGGACTGGTAGTCTAACGCTAGGAAGATCCGAAAGTTAATTCTCTTGACACCCCGGATCGCTGCTGCACGCCTAAAAAGCCGACCAGATTCAGGTGCAAAAAAGATACTTCTTTTTGCCTGGTGTTGCCTATCATCTGGGTAGGTACGTTGAACCCATACCCCTGTTGAACGCCTGTTACCTCAGCAATTTCACCCCCTGTTAAACCACCAGTACTTGGCCCAGCTATCGGCCACGGAAAAAAAAAAAAAAAGTAGAAACGTTTCTAGCCGGATGAATTTGGGCGCTTCTGTAGTGGCCCGTACGTTTCCTAAAATCATGAGACGTTAACAGGCACGACTCTAGGAAGTACTGGTGGTTTAACTCAGCAATTTAACCCCTGTTGAACCCCAGTACTGGTGGTTTAACTCAGCAATTTAACCCCTGTTGAACCCCTGTTAA